TATGGATTCTCAATTTTATTCCACTGGTCTATGTGTCTGTCATTGGTCCAGTATCATGCTGTCTTGACCACCATGGCAGTATAGTAGGATTTGAAACCATGGAGTGAAAGGCCTCATACCTTGTTTCTCTTTTTAAGGAGTGCTTTGCTTAATCCAAAACATTCCAAATGAAACTGGGGACTGCCTTTCCCACATCATTGAAGAATGGTATTGGTATTTGTATTGGGATTGCACCGAACATATCTTTGGAGGATTGTAATTTTCATAATATTGAGCCTTCCTATCCATGAGCAAGGTATGGTCTTCCATTTGTCCAAGTCTCTTCTTGTTTCTTGTAGTAATGTTTTGTCATTTTCTTTAAATTTCTTCCAGTTGGGCCAACTATTTCCAGTTGTTTTCTTGCTGATTTAGGGTTTTATAAGTATTCTATCATATCATCTGCATATAGAGATAATTTTACCTCCTCTTTGCCAATTTGGGAACCTTCCTTCTCTTGTCTTATTCCTATAGATAAGACATATAACACAATTTTGAATAGTTCCTGTTCTCAAAGGGAATTATTTTAACCACTCTCCATTGGTTTCCCTATACATGTTTTACTAGTTATCATTCTATTTTTACAATAATGATCTTAGGCAGTATTTGTCCTTATGAGACTGAGTTAGTTAATTCATCATAATGCTTTTCAGTCTCTCCCAAGTTATGTTGTAATTTTTTAAATAGTTGCTCCTGGGTGCTGTATAGTATTCCAGTGTGTGAATGTAACACAAATTCTCAATCTATTTGGTTGTGGTTGGACATCTGGGCTGTTTTCATGTTCTTGTGATGGTGAATAATACTGCTATGAACATTGGTGTACAAATCTCACCCCAGTAGCAGTGGCAAAGTTCAGCAGGGAAGTAAGCAATACATTTGGAAAGGATGTGGCTAGGTGGGAACTCTCATACACTATTAGCAAGGTTGTGTCATCTGTATACCACTAGTTGTTGATGAAACTTCCTCTGATCTTGATGCTATATTCCTCAGCGAACAGACTGAATAGATAGGGAGAAAGCATACAAACATGATACATAATTTTCCTTATTTTAAACCATATATTGCTCCTTTGTTCTGTTTGGACAACAACTTCTGGGTCTATGTTGAGGTTTTGCATTAGCACAACTGTTGTTTGTTGTTCTGTGCCATCGAGTTGTTTGCAACTCATAGCGACCATATGTACAACAGCCCTTAAACCCTGCTCTATCCTGTGCCAATTGCACTGCCTCTGACACACCCATTCCGATTACCCCAGTCACTGAATCAATCTCCCTCATAGAGGGTCTTCCCCTCCGGGGCTGAACCTCCAGCCTACCAAGCATGATGTCCCTCTCTAAAGATGTGTCTCTCCTCACAACATGTCCAAAGTATGTCAGACGAAGCCCCAGAATCCTTGCCTCCAAGGGGCAGCCTGGTTTAACCCTCTCTAGGATGAATCTGTTTGTTTT